CGTTTAAAATATCCCCCCCCCCCCGGCTGTTGAAATTAAAGAAGCCCCTTGGTGCTCTCAGAAGTCTGAAAGGAGATTTCCCCTAAATTCTGCATGTTTTCAAAGAAATTGTTAAGTGATCCACACTAACTTCCTCTTCCCTGAGAAACAAACAAATAACAATAAACTTCAAAAGAAAACAAAACAAAACCCTGCACATACAGGAAGACAGTGCTAGCCATGAAAGGCAGGAGGTCTGGCTCAAGAACTTACAGCAGCTAGTGGCTTCAGGAAGCAATAGTAAAGGCTGTACCTACAGGGGGCTGGGTGTTCCTGATTGTAAGCAATGCTTCTTCTGTGCCTTTTAGGTGCTGTCTTCCATGGAACAATTTCGCAATTTGGATCGGGACATTGAGGGTTCTGCCAAGCGGTGGAAGAAGTTTGTGGAGTCTGAATGCCCTGAAAAGGAGAGATTTCCTCAGGAGTGGAAGAATAAATCTGCTTTACAGCAGCTGTGTATGATGCGAGCCATACGGCCTGACCGCATGACATATGCTGTCAGGTAAGGCCTGTTTACAAGCAAGGTGACTGAACCATGCTTTGTCCAGCAGTGCAGAAAACTCACCTTTAGAGCAGAGGGTCCAAGAAATGCCAAATGAGTCATAGAAGAAATGCTTAAATGTCTGGGGCTTACACATCCGCATCCCTGGCTTAGAATGAATCATTTTTTAATGCTACAGTGCGATTTCCCTCCCTTCATCCTGCTCTCCACTTAATCAGAACAGACTGTGTCAGTGATATCCATTAAACCTCAGCCACATTCAGCACTGATTGTTATCTACAGGGTGGTGATCGTGCACCCTCTGTTATGATGTCCATCTGCTGCAAATACAGTTTATGCCTGTCTTTTAGACACCTATTTTTTAGGTGTTCATGTAAGTTTAAACTGGGACTAAATGAGCCCAAACCCGGGCAAGTTTTTCAAACAAAGAAGCGCAGGCCATGTGCACATGCACACACGCACGCGCGCACACACCCACACACACACACACACACACACCCACACACACACACACACACCCACACACACACACACACACACACACACACACACACACAATTTCTGTAATGCGGAGTGACATTTCAGAGCATTCCAGAACTTTAATTAAAATAGGTTTTGAAAGCCAATCTAAAAGATTTTATTTGAAAATACCAAACATGACAGAAAACAAAATGCGAAAAGCTGGTATTTGAATGTAATATGAAATCACGTTAATGTCTGAGCCTTTCAAACTCTGCACCAAAGCTACTTCTGTCAAATGAAGAAAAGGAAATCTTCAAGACTATTTATTGTGAATGGCTGATTTCTACAGAAGATTTGCATATGTTCTGCCAATTGCTAAAATTGTTCTTGAGGAAAGAAAATATACTCAGGAAAATAAATTTGCATCAGACATTGTGAACCACCCCAGGTTACAAACAGTGCTTGGCACAATGGCAAGCTGATTAGTCTTAATCAGGATGTTTTATCCCATGCTGGTTTTATCCTGGCAATCTTTGGTAGTAGAGACATCTTTGCCTTTGCCTGATTTGTCTTTAAAAGAACATCCTTAGCAATAGGGAAATACATCTATTTCACTTTCTCCTGCATTCGGATTTCTTAAATCTCAAGTAGGTGTGTGTAATATATATTACACACACGTAAACACTCTTATTGTGAATCTACAAGAACTATTAGTTAAACCACAACTGCAATTATTTTGCCATTGTGTTTTATGCTTTCAACATTTATTGTTGTTTTTAATTAATTTGCTTTTTATGATATTCTAAAATTGTATTTGTGACTCTCTGTATGAGGCACCCTTTGAGCAAAATGGGATACCGTTTTTAATGTTCATCATAAATCCTGCGCTGCCATGATAATTTATTTCACTCTCCTTGCCTGTTACACATACAACACCACTTTCCATTCTGTTGTTCTCTTAAAGGGGGTTGTTTTATAAGTTTTCATTAGAAATTATTGCTTCTTGAGAAACATAAAGAAGTTTTTTTTTAAATAGTACAACCTATCTAAGGAGAAGAACAGCAGCAGTTGGCGTCATCATGTATGGCAGCTTCATAGATTCTAGCAGAACTTAGCACAAGATCTGCCCTTCTCCTTCCCATGTCTGAAGTTTTAAGAAAAAAAAATCTAGCAGAAACAAACTCCATAATTCATTGCTATTTCAGCTAGTGAATTGTGCCTATTATTTCTCTGAGCCTGTACTTAAAAGGATGCCTGGTAGCATTTGTTATTTGTTACTATAGGAAAATGTAGTAAATTTAGCTGATGCTAGTTGTTGATGAAGTTATGAGTTATTTAGTGGAGCAGACTGAACGACATGTGAACTTCAGACAGGCATGTAAGAATCGTTAGAATAAATACTTTAAGAAAAGCAAAAGGTCCTTTGCTCCATCAGGATTTGTTCATTATTCAACTTCTTATTCTTTTTGCAAGCAACATTTGATAACGTCCATGGTCCAATTTAGCTTACAAGAGCTGCAATACATCAGCTGAACAGGAAAACAAATGTGCACTCGTTTATCACAAAGTTTCAAGTTTAGCCTAGGTTAGACAATCTGGTGCTCTCCAAATATTGTGGACTGCAACGTGTAACCCCTGACTTTCTCTAGGGTAGATGAGGGCACTGGTTTCACTCTTGAAAAGAGTTCAAACTTTTTCACTCCAAGAGAATATATATTACCCACATATCTAAGAACACTTGCTGAATCCTTTAAGTAGCTTATCTAACAATGGCTTCCTAACTCAGCAAAATAAGTGTCCACAGTACAGTGGTGCCTCCACTTACGACCATAATCTGTTCCAGAAGATGGACGTAACTCGAAATGGTTGTTAAGTCGAAGCACCATTTCCCATAGGAATGCACTGAAATGCAATTAATCTGTTCTGGCGGGAACCCCCCCCCTCCCCCAAATCACTGCAAGGCTCATTGGAAACGTGATTAATCTCTTCAGACCAAAGGGGAAAAAAGAAAAGAAAAGCAATCAAGTGTGCAAAACCCATTGGAAATGCACAGAAAACAAACAGAGCAGATTGGAAATGCACAGAGAAAAAAGGGGGCAAGTCAGAAATACTAATAAAACAAAGGAAAAAGCAAGGGAAGCATGCAGGACACATCAGAAATGGGGAAACCCTCCTAAAAGCAACCAAACCCCCCAAGACCCATCAGAAATGGGGGGAAGCCAAAAAACAAACAAACCCCTCAAGACCCATCAGAAATGGGGAAAACCCCCAAAAGCAACCAAAGCCCCCAACACCCATCAGAAATGGAAAAAAATACAACCAACAAACAACTGCCCAAGACCCATCAGAAATGGGAAAAAACACTCCAAAAAGCAACAAATCCCCCAAGAAATGGGAAAAAACCAACCAACAAGTGCAAAACCCATTGGAAATGCACAGAAAACAAACAGAGCAGATTGGAAATGCACAGAGAAAAAAGGGGGCAAGTCAGAAATACTAATAAAACAAAGGAAAAAGCAAGGGAAGCATGCAGGACACATCAGAAATGGGGAAACCCTCCTAAAAGCAACCAAACCCCCCAAGACCCATCAGAAATGGGGGGAAGCCAAAAAACAAACAAACCCCTCAAGACCCATCAGAAATGGGGAAAACCCCCAAAAGCAACCAAAGCCCCCAACACCCATCAGAAATGGAAAAAAATACAACCAACAAACAACTGCCCAAGACCCATCAGAAATGGGAAAAAACACTCCAAAAAGCAACAAATCCCCCAAGAAATGGGAAAAAACCAACCAACCAACAACCCCCCAAGACACATCACAGCACAGAAACATAACCCCCCCAGCTCAAAACCATGCTACAAAAACACACAGAACAGTTTTTAAAAAGCAGAAAACAGCACCTTATCTTTCAAGGCAGCCCAAAGCCTCCCTGCAAACGCACACACACTCAGAAGCACAAGGAGGGCCCCAAACCTCCTCCTCTGACACACTCACTCTAACTGTTGGGGCGAAAGAGCTACAAAGAAGCAGCCTCGTCATCACCTACAGTTAGCAATTTGAATTTCTTGCCTTTTCCCCCTGCCTTTTTCTGTTCGTGAGTGGAAGCTCTGGTCGCAAGAAGAAGCAAAATTTTGTGGCTGGAGCTGGTCGTAACTCAAAATGGTTGTAAGTAGGGACGTTCATAAGTCGAGGCACCACTGTACATTTTTCATATGCTGGGATTAGTAGTGTTACTAATACATATGGCAAAAAAATTCCAGCTGTATTTTGTGGATCCTAGATTGGTGTGTGGCAGGAATATACCAAAATATATAAAATCTTTCTTTGGATATGAAAAGGTCCACTGGCAGCCTGCCCTGAGGCTCCTAAGCTTTGATGTACATTGTTGATATTCTTTGCATAGGCTCAAAGCACTAGGAGGCCTCCTAGGACGCATTGGGTATGTGGTTCAAATGAACCCTCTCTTCTGATTATGTGGTGGAGATTTTTAGAAGTTGATGGATCAGAACAAGAACTTCTATAAGGGGAAGGGAGTGAAAGTAATGTAAAAGTATTACCAGTGTTTGTCTTTCTCCACAATTATGCTTTTAGACCCTCATGTTCCCCAGTGCTTTTGTCTTTATGAATATTCTGTACCTTGTGCCAAAGATGTAATGGTTATAGTTATTTGACTAGTTTGTAGAAGTAAGCAGTAATAATATTGGTGTCATTGGTTTTGGTAATATTAAGGTTTCTTATTAACACCATAAATATTTCTAGTCTAAAATACAGATTTTTCACTGTTTTCTGAAGTTTGTAAGTTAGTTCTTCTTGAAATCTTAATGAGTACTGTATGAGTTTTGATTAAACTGAACACCATGTCTGATTTTTTGTTTTGTTTTGGTGAATGCATTGTGTTTCCTGAACATTAATATCTTCAGTAATTTCTTCCTATAGAGCTTTTGTGGAAGAAAAGCTTGGGAGTCAATATGTGGGAGGAAGATCTCTGGATTTTGCAACATCATTTGAGGAGTCAGGACCTGCTACTCCAATGTTCTTTATCCTGTCACCTGGAGTTGATCCCTTGAAAGACGTAGAGAAACACGGTAAATTAACTGCATCAGTTAAATCAAATGTCACTACTGTGTGCACATTTTCAGAGGAAAAAATAGTCTCTTTGGTGGCCCCAAGCATGGACAGTCCTTGCTTTTTGGAATATGCCTCCCCTGAGCATCAGTCAGGGTGAGCTTGTTTTGTCCCTGTACCATGGACTGAAGCAGGTTTGAACAGCTTTCCTTAACAGTGGGCTCTTCAGAACCGTAACTCCTGTGATCCCATTTTCATTAGTGGCTGGAGGTTATGGAAGTTGTAGTTCAACACATTGGGACGCCTCAAGTTGGAAAAAAGCATTTAGTAGCATTTCAGTAAAGGATAGTATCTTTCACTTTATTTAGGCTTTGTTGTTTATATATTTCAACCATATCTATTCAACCCCCACCCCCAGTCCCAATATCTTTCACCCTTCCTACTGTTCTTTCTCATGGAACATTAAGGATATGTCTAGGTGCATATCTTGCACCTTTTGGTGCAAGCGAGAGCAGTCTAAATAGTGTTGCTTAAGGTTAGGGGGAAGAGTGGTATGCCATTCGGTGTGATCCTTGAGTCCAAATGGCATATTGACCTCAAGCAATACTCTGGGTCCTTTCTCTGTCAATTGAACACTTCCCCTGCTCCTCTGAGGAGAGGTAGGGGAAGAGAAATTATTATTTTTGCCTGTGCTAGACCTAATACACAGAATCACTTAGATTTAATTTAATTTTTTTCCTTTGCTTTTTGTGTAGTGCTGATTGAGAAACTGCTTGCAGCCACAGTTTTGATTGGAAATCCACACAAAGGCAAATACATTTTTAAATTTAATCTAAGTGATCCAGCACAACAGTGATGGTCTAGTTCGTTCATTTGTTTAGTCGTTTAGTCGTGTCCGACTCTTCGTGACCCCATGGACCAGAGCACGCCAGGCCCTCCTGTCTTCTACTGCCTCCCGGAGTTGTGTCAGGTTCATGTTGGTTGCTTCGCAGACACTGTCCAGCCATCTCATCCTCGGTCGTCCCCTTCTCCTCTTTCCATCACACTTTCCCAACATCAGGGTCTTTTCCAGGGAGTCTTTTCTTCTCATTAGATGGCCAAAGTACTGGAGCCTCAGCTTCAGGATCTGTCCTTCCAGTGAGCACTCAGGGTTGATTTCCTTTAGAATTGATAGGTTTGTTCTCCTTGCAGTCCAGGGGATTCTCAAGAGTCTCCTCCAGCACCACAATTCAAAGGCATCAATTCTTCGGCGGTCTGCTTTCTTTATGGTCCAGCTCTCACTTCCATACATCACGACAGGAAAAACCATAGCTTTGACTATTCGGACTTTTGTTGGCAAGGTGATGTCTCTGCTTTTTAACATGCTGTCAAGATTTGTCATCGCTTTCCTCCCAAGAAGCAGGCGTCTTTTAATTTCGTGGCTGCTGTCTCCATCTGCAGTGATCATGAAGCCCAGGAAAATGGTCTAGTAGAATATAATAATAATAATAATAATAATAATAATAATAATAATAATAAGAAGAAGAAGAAGAAGAAGAAGAAGAAGAAGGGGCCAAAAAAAGTGCCATTTGAGGTGCTCTGGGGGCAAGTTGGGGTGCTCTAGCAATTACATCATGTGGTCACCAGAAAAAAGAGCGAGCCAATTTATCCCCACAGTGCACCAAGCAGTGGGACAAATGGCAGTCTGAATGAGCCCTCGGAAAGGAAAACATACTTTTTAAAGACTAGTTCTTCACCAGTCCTTCTCAACTTATGGACGATTACTGTGCTGTGTCTTCTTCCCCTCTCTGCAGTCACTGTGCAGCCTAGTTTCCATATCTCTCAGCTGTGAAGTAGAGAAAAAGTACAATTTTGAGGAAGCCACATTAGTAGTGCAGTAAGGTGGCATCCTGGCTTAGTCATGTTTAGAACTAACTGAAATGTCATGTTTAGAACTCACTGAAAATATCAGCTAATCTATGTGGCTCCCATATAAATATTATTAAGCTTGGATCAAGCCATTTCATAGAGACAAGGACACTATCCACAACTAATTAAGTGAGTATTCTCCAAGGAGAGACCTTTCCAGTTTCTTATCAGAGACCCAGTAGCCTTACATTAGATTCATCTACCTGTCCCCTTGTAGGGTACTCCCAGCCCTCATATAAGGAAGGATATAAAAGGCTATAAGCCTGGTCTGGAACAATGGCTCTAGAACAGTGGCTCCCAAACTTGGGTAACCCAGGTGTTCATTGACTGCAGCTCCCAGAAGCCTTCACTACTAGCTGTGCTGGCAGGGATTTCTGGGAGTTGCAGTCCAGGGAAGTCTGGGTTACCCAAGGTTGGGAACCACTGCTTTGGAAGTTATTTTGGGCCAGTACGTAGACGTGTCCTCATAGGAAAAATGCCTTTCAGAGCTACCAATTTATATTTCACCACACCAATGCTGGGTTACCCAAGGTTGGGAACCACCGCTTTGGAAGTTATCTTGGGCCAGTACGTAGATGTGTCCTCATGGGAAAAAAAATGCCTTTCAAACCACCCTATGGAAAATGCCTTTCAGATTTATATCAATTTATATTTCAGCACAGGCCAATCCGAAGGGCCATAGGAGGGCTGTGAAGGGCCCTCGCTTTGTTCAGCGTCCCTGCTACACATTCTGGCCCCATTCATAAGAAGGAAAGCCCACTGAATTGCTTGCTGTCTTCAGCTGTGTAGGGTTTTGAACATGAAGCCGCTTTTGAGTTTAAGGGACCAATGTGAACACTTTACAAAATGTGATTTTAATCAGAAATTCTATGTATAAGTGCTACTCATAAGAATGCAGTACATATACACAGTTTCAGCTCATATTTATAACATGTGTATTGTAATCCTTTGCTCTATCCTCCCTTTTATCTCTCTTGTTTATTCAACTTACAACTTGAGTGCCTTGGGAGGAAATCACAGTTTCTGTGCCAAGTGCTGGTGCTAGAAGTATGCCCTGGGTAATTAGCATATGTAAATCATAATGCTAAGCATACAAATAGGTTTGCCTCACAAATCATTGCAGTTGTCTGTGTTCATGTGTGAAAAGGCCCTATGGCTCATTCCCAGTTTATTTTATTTTATTTTGCTCTCTAGGTAAATGTAGATTCAGACTTCAAAGTTTTAGATTGATGTTTGGGCTTATTATTCAAGCTGCAAAGAGACATTTAGCCTTTTGTCATTTTAATCTAGGGATCTTCATGAATATTCGATTGGGTTGCCACAGCCAATACATATCAGTGGCATGCTCCTTTTCCCTTGCTAGCCTTGCGAGCTTATGGAACAAACTCTACGGAGAGAACACCTAGCGGAATGCCCTTGTGGCAAATGTTTACGCAGCTGTATTCTTTCAGAGGAAGGGATTGCCACTCTCAAATTGGCCTCCACACTAGACGTTGTTCCAGGATCTCTGTTCAGAGCATGTTACCAGAGTCTCTCAAGACTGAAGAATGCCTACAGCCTGGATTCTTTCAAAGGAAAGATCAGAATGCTACCCTCCATAGTTAAAAGGATTCCGCCATTCTACCTGTTCCATTAGAGTAGCTACCTGCTTGAGGTGAAAGTGACCTGTTTTAATTCTCTATTTCCACTCTAATCCTTTGGATCCTCCATGGGACCATGTTCACTCAGTGCATCGTTTGGACCTCTTTGCACTGTGTACATGCAGTGAGTCCGGCTGTTGATTCATTTTTGAGTCATTAAATAGAAATCCTCATCCATGCACCTTACCACAAGCAGGAGTCCATGCTGCTCACACTGTCGCATAAGATGTTTCGAGAGCACCTCTTTACAGAAGGCTGCACAATGCCTTCGTGCCCCATGTATCGTTCACTGAAGATCCTTCCAGAGTGATTTGGGTGTTTTCACAAAGACCACCTCTTTGCTAGCATGCCTGTCCCTATGTTCAAGGCTTTTCGAAAGGAAAATATAGAACTGCACATTAGTGATTGTAATTCATAGGCTAAGTATATTCTTCTCTCCTTTGCACACAATCTTTCAACTGAGTCACCTTCTGTGGCATTAAAGCCTCCACAGTGGGGAGCACTGGAATTCTGAGAGCATCTGTTAGATTCTGGTTTCACCGTAGAAGCTCAATGAGCTCCAACAAGACGGTATATGGAGTAGAGGGATATTTAAAAAAAGGAGATGGGTAAAGACAGAAGCACCAGCATAGGACACCAGGCATCAATAGGCCACATGTTTTTCAGAGCCTCTAAAGCGTTTCAAGGAGGCTTTGTTCATTGGGGACCAAGATGGTTGCTGTTTTGCGATCGTACTTTCAGACACAGATGTTTTAGGCAGTGTTGACCTCATAAGATCCGTTTAAAAATCTGTATTGGATAGTTTCTGAGATCACTGGTCTTAAGACAACATTGATAGCCCTACTTGAGATATCAGCTTTTAGAATGGTTTCCTTCATCTTTGAAGCTTTTAGTAAACAAGTAGCAATCAAGTCAGCAGGAAAAAAGTGTCTTCAACATAGTAGGGAGAAATGGCTACTGTTTACATCTAGATAATCCTGTACTTATTTTCCTTTTGACATAGTTATGAGTTGTGTTTGTATAAGCTGACAACATAACTTTTTGCATGACTTCAGTTTTTGAATTGCCTGATTTTTGATTTGGAATTTCCTTTCTGCTCTGGAATTACACAGTTTGTGTCTGTGTTAATCACGCATGGTGTACAAAGCATTTGGGTTTGAATGAAGAAGTGACAGCATTCCCCCCGCCCAATGTACGAAAGCTTTGGAGTTTGCGCATCTGCCAGAGGTTCTTCCACAATACATGGGAAGAGAGTATTTACTGCCTGAAAATGAAACCAACTGGGAAAGGCTTTCAGAGTCCCACTGCACATTCTATCAGTAGAATGTTACTCCTACTGCTTTTAGTGTTGGGGAAACTCATATTTAAGAAAAGCAGCCACAGAGAGGGGACTCTGGATTAGGACTACAATAGGGCCATGTTGTTTTCTTACCCCGAACTGCTATTTGCTCCTGAAAATGCTGTTTGTAGGAAATTGCACCTTCAGGATCAAAGAATGGCTCCTGGACTGTGCAATTTGTGGCAAGACAATGGCATAAGGGGAAAGAATTAACTTTACTTTCCCATGCACTGCTGTCCCAATCCAGATCAGGTGTATTTGTATCCACCTTTCTTTCATCCAAAAGAAAAGAAATGCTAAGAAGAAAAGAAACTTTCCTAATGTGAAGCAAGGTAGAAAATGTTATGTTTGGCTCTCACTTCTTATGTGGAAATTAGCCCTCTAGTTACCAGTCTGATGTACTCTGCAGTCTAATGTGGAGGTAAGCAAAAGCTGCTATTCTGGAATAGCTGGCTTCATGCATATTAAATTTAGCCGGCAGGATATATTTAATATCATTAAAAACATGGATTTTTTTTTTCATTTATTCTGGACTTGCAAAGGGGATAGTACATTTAGATTTAAAGGTTGAAATACTCTTTTTGCTTTGTGCTACAGATAAAATGTAGCACAAAGCATGAATTGGACACAACTCCGGGAGACAGTGGAAGACAGGAGGGCCTGGCGTGCTCTGGTCCATGGGGTCACAAAGAGTCGGACACGACTAAATGACTAAACAACAACAATAGATAAAATAAGTTGGAAACCTTTTAGTTATTTCAGAAGAGGTACTTTAAAAGAAAAAAAAAGGCAGTGCAATCATTATAGCTCCTTTCTAAGGTGGTGTTTCATTAACAGTGACTTTTGGAGGAGGACAATCATCCCTTTGTTCAAGTGTGCTGAAAAGCTGGTTTTCCTCTTTCAGGAAAGAAACTTGGCTACACCTTTAACAACAGGAATTTCCACAACGTCTCACTTGGGCAAGGCCAAGAGGCCGTGGCAGAGCAAGCTTTAGACCTCGCTGCAGCCAAGGGACATTGGGTTATCCTGCAGGTACCATCTCTTTTGATTTTGAGGGAAACTACCAGCAGCCCTTGTAGTCAGGAGTTGTAGGAGCAGATGAAATCAACATGGGCTGATAGCTCATTCGTCATGGGTGGAGATAGATTGGTAGATAGGCTGCCTCTCAATGAGACCCATAAGGCTTTTAGATTATCACTATTTATAGTTTGGAAATTGGGTGCCAGTCGCTTAACACAACAGAAAGGGCAACCAGACCACAAGGAGGAACTCCTTGGTAGCTTCCCTGTTTGCTGCCATCAGTGCTCTTCAGAGGGATTTCAGTAAGTGCATTCCCTGTTGCATAAACTCTTGGATGGATTCTTTTTCTGACATTTATCCACCTCCAAATACCTAATGCACATTCAGCTTTCTTATTCAGAAAGGTACCTGCCATCACCTCAGATCTGTCAGGTCTCAGTGGTTGTCTCAGATTACGTATATCCTATAGTGTTGATATGTATGTGTTGGAGTGAGAGAGGCTGGGGTGTGTGGGATAGATTGTGTGTTGATATGACCCTAAATTCTGCACCAAAGAAGCTGAATTCTGACATGCGAGTATATATGTAATGCCAATCAAGCATATTTACTTATCTCTTCTTATTGTTTATTGCCATTGCTGTTACTCATGAGGAGGTAGACGTTGTCTAGAGCAGTGGTTCTTAACCTTTGTTACTCGGATGTTTTTGAACTGCAACTCCCAGAAACCCCAGCCAGCACAGTTGGTGGTGAAGGCTTCTGGGAGCTGCAGTCCAAAACTCCTGAGTAACCCAAGGTTAAGAACCAGTGCTCTAGAGGGGCGGGGTAAAAATTGAATAAATAAATAAAAGCAATAACCTATGCAGGACTAAAGGGGTTATGAACCATGTGGGAGCTGCCCATCAGTCTGTCCCGGATTACAGGTGGGTTGATGCACAAGCAGAGGCTGTGCCTCAGGCTGCCCATCCAGTCCTTGTGCCACATGCTGCCCAAAGGAGGAAGCAAAGTCTACTTGGTAGTCCAGGCATGCAATAAGGTGAGCCAGCCCTCGAGGGAGATACTTCGATGAGGAGCAGAAGTAATCCCCCAGGAAGCATCCAACTCTGCTAACCCAGCAGAAGAAGTGATGACTTCAGTTACAACAGCCTTCCCTTCACATTTTGATCTCTAGCTGTGAAGAAATAAAAAGGAAACAGCCAACACCACAACCCCACAGGTTTTGGCTCTAAACAAATATTTTAAGAGAGATAGGAGCCAATAATATTGGCAGCACAGTAAATATAGATTTGAACTAAAAGTGGGAGTTAAATATGGATTTAAAAAAGAGGATGGGGAACTAAATACCCATACACTCATTTTTTGGGTGAAGTACCCAAGCTGCCCCCAGCATGAGCTCTCCGTGCTCATGAACCAACAGCAGTATACAGTGGGGTCTCTACTTAAGAACTTAATCCGTATTGGAAGGTGGTTCTCAAGTTGAAAAGTTCTTATGTTGAATCTGCATTTCCCATAGGAATGCATTGAAAACCATTTAATCCGTATCTGCTCTTTTCGTCCATAGAAACTACAGTGGAACCTCTACTTAAGAACTTAATCCGTTTTGGAATGGTGTTCTTAAGTTGAAACGTTCTTAAGTTGAAGCAAAATTTCCCATAGGAATGGACTGAAAGCCAATTAATCCGTTCTGGCTGTTTTTTTGTTATGTAGAGGTGCGTTCGTACATTGAAGCATTAGTTCCCATAGGAACTAATGTAAAGCTGGTTAATACGTACTCTACCACTAGGGGGAGAATTTTTTTTTAACCTAAGATGACCTAAGGTTAAAAAAAGAGCAGGAAAGGTTTTTTTTCCTGTTCTTATCTTGGATTTCTGTTCTCAAGTAGAAGCAAAACTTAGCAAATGGAGCTGTTCTTAAGTTGGATTGTTCTTAAGTAGAGACATTCTTAAGTAGAGACCCCACTGTAGTTTACTGGAGCACAGCCGATGCTTTTTATTACTGATTTAAGGTACAGTCCTATAGCTACTTATCCTATAGTCACTTACCTAGGACTAAGCCCCATTGAATAGAATAGGACTCACGTCTGAATAAACACGGAGAAGATTGTGCTGTTAGCTCATGCTTTTAAACCTGTGCTGGTCTCTTTTCTGGAATTTCCAGTTAACACTATCCATATTTTAAATACAACGTTGAGCTGAATTCCTTAGTCTTTTTCAGTACAATGCATGGAGGGTCAGATGACTGCATGAAAACATTGTTTTTATTCAGATCTAGTAATCTCATTATAAGTCTACACTGTGAACATTCATCATTCCCTTTCAAGTATCTCCAACGTAGGACTGAGATGTTGAGGTCACACGCACCCCGCCATCATGTTTTGTGCACATTATAAAAGTAATTTGTAATTTTAGAACAATTTTGCAAGACTCCTGAACACTGAAAGTAAGATGAGAAGTAGTAGGCTGCTTTCTTTCAATATAATGCTGGGATTTTTGACTTACTGAACACAAAAGGCATACAATAATATCTAGTCCATCATTTGTGCCAAAAGCCTATTAAATGCTGGTGTTGTGTAAATATCTGTGATGTAGTTGTGCTGGATTGAACTGTTGTAGGAGCAGTCACACAATGGGAACTTAAACCAGTGATCCTTGTTAGGGAGCTGCTGAAGCCTCCCTCATGGACTGCACTTGCTCATCCTCTTGGGAAGTGCAATAATATGGGCACTATATTTTAGTTTTCAAAAACAGGGGACTGGCCGAAGAACAAAAAAATGCAGTTTGAGGAAAAGGCAAGTTAAATTAGTGCAGGGGAGGGGAGGTGTCTCGCTGATACACGGTTGCCCAAGGCCAACAGAAACTTTGAGCCAGCCGTGATGGTGAGTTTCACCGAGGCTGCTGTTTTTTTCTTCTTGGGCTTGAGTCTTCTACTGCACATTCTTACATGTTTCTTCATCCAAATGTCCTGGAATTTAACATTTCCTATTGACTTGCTAAGTCCTAAAGTGGCTTCAGTCCAATAACTGGTGCTAGCATCACATGAGAATCACATGTCTCACATTGAAACTGTTTTCTTGACTGTCAGTCCTGCTTGCTGAATTCTAGACAAAACAGTTTCAATGTGAGACCTGCAAATGTCAGTGGATGCAAGGGAAGAGTCAGAGAATGCTAGCAGATGGATTCCTTCTAGCTAATTCCATGACTACAAATCCCATTTAGAAATTACCTTCTGGCTTGTATGACCTATGTCATCACAAACAGTACGCAATGTGAAAAGCAACATGCACTGCTTATATACCACCCCATAGTTCTTAAAGCACTCTTTGGACGGTTTACTTTTTAAAATTATGCAAGCTAGACATGGCCTCCCCCAGAGAGCTGGTACTCAATTCACTGACCTCAGAAGGCTGGAAGGTTGAGTCAACCTTGAGCTGGCTATCTGAGCCTGTCAGGATCGAACTTAGATCATGAACAGAGTCTTGACTGCAGTACTGCAGTTTTAACCACTGCACCACGAGGCCTCATAGTATTCAAATCTTTGAAAGTTATTTAGGCATGACACTTGTCACAGGGCCTTCTTCTGGGCAAAACCAACCCACTTGAACAAGATCTCATCCACAACATCCCTTATCACTTCTTTCTCAAAGGAGGATGTCTTTGTATGGCGAAGAGAAAGGCCTCCTCAGGTTTTCTCTACCTGCTCTGACCTAAAGCTGACCTCCGTTCAGCCTAGACTGATATTCTCAGGTTTGCTGATGTCACATTTTTCTTTCCAACCATTCTTTCTTGACCTCCAGGAAAAACCTCTTACATTTGTTCTCAAGGTGTGAAGCAGCTACAACAGCTCACCACATTCCTATCATAGTAAGAAAAGTAGTAAGAATCCTAATTCTATCTATCCATGTATTTCTCAAATTAACTTTCTTATTTTCCTAGAATAAACAATATGGATGTGATTGCTTTCCCAGTCATTTCAATTATAGGGCTGAATCCACAAGTTAACTTAGGTGCTGCTTCGTGTTTCTGGGCCCAGATTTCAGAAACTAACAGGTTACCAAGCAGCAGAGGTTAACAGAGATGTCGTCTGTAAGATGCTCTAGTGGTCAAATGTCTCTGATCATATCCCAGAAAAGAAGAGGCCCAAACTGGGTAACAAAATTAAAAAAAGAATACTGGTAGACAAAGAGATGCTAAGCAATGATCTGAAAAGGGAGAAAATAGCAATCAGCAGAGGGTTTTACTTTGACGAGGGTAAGAGCTAACACCAACCAGAAGGTGTGCCCCTTCGAGGAGGATTATAGCAATCAGCAGAGGGTTTTACTTTGACAAGGGTAAGAGCTAACACCAACCAGGTGTGCCCCTTCGAGGAGGATAAACGAAAGAAGAGGGAAAAGAAGAAGAAACAATGGTGCTCAGCCACAGGGGCATGGCAAAACTGGAATGTGAAGAGTATGAGCCAGAAAAGCTTGCAAATCCAGAGGAAGCTGCAGAACTAGAGGGGATTATAGAGGAAGGACCCAGATGCTGAACCAAAGGCGTACCACCACCATGGCTGTCCTGTTCGCAAGGGAAGAGTGGCTGTACAACGAGGCCTTACAAATAGCAGAGAAGAGAAGGGAAACAAAATGCAAGGGAGATAGGGAAAGTTACAGAGAATGGAAAAAGGAGAGACAAGAGGTCCTTCTTAAATGAAGAGTGCAAAGATAAAGAGGAAAATAATAGAAAGGGAAAAAACAGAGATCTGTTCCAGAAAATTGGAGCAGTTAAAGGAACATTTTGTGCAAAGATGGACATGATAAAGGACAAAAATGGTAGGGACCTCACAGAAACAGAAGACAACAAGAAGAGGTGGCAAGAATATACAGAGGAGTTATACCAGAAAGATCTGGATGTCCTGGACGACACAAATAGCGTGGTTGCTGACCTTGAGCCAGACATCCTAGAGAGTGAAGTCAAGTGGGCCTTAGAAAGCATGACTAACAACAAGGCCAGATTATGGTCATAAATCGAGGCACCACT